TCCTCCGGGGTCTTCCCCGGTTTCTCCGTGGCATCCCAACAATTACTCCATTCACACACAGAAGAAGGCAATGGCAAACCACTTCTGGATCATCTGCCAAGAACGTATATGAACAGGTCCCAGTCCGAGAAAAGGAAGGAAGGATCCTGTTCATATGGACCTGTCGTCAGACAGAACACTAAATAAATAAAATAAATACTTTAAAATACAATTTTATAAACATTTCTTCGAGGTCTCGAAATAAATTCCTTCAGTCACACGAAACCTAAATGAAAATGACATTCCATCCAAAGTCAGTGATGTGTCAACACATATCGAAAATCAATACTCGATCCGCGTCTTTTATCATACGTCCATAAGAAGTGTCTTGTATTATGTGCATTACATGATGGCAGCAGACTTAGAAAGACAGGTTTACTTTCTTTTCCATTCACACAATATCACAGCATGAACTTTGATATCAGTATTAAATTCTTTATTGATTTTGTTTCGCTACTTGGTTGTAGGCTAATTAATCTCTATTCCGTGGAAATTTATATAAACTTCCACATACCTACTTTTCTGGTTACAAGGCAGATTAATTCAATCTTCAAGGCGTTCGCATTTCAGGAACATAAATTCTGTTCGAGATCGATATTGTTTGTCGAAGGATGATCGATTTATGAAATGCCAGTAGACAGAGTACAAGATTTGAAGTGATTCAGACTGATTATTATTTCAGTGGTGCAGTCAACACCATTCTATGCCGGCAATGACATTTTATTGGAAGATGACAAGCCAGTGTTGCCTGGACTCCCCATCAGGGCTGCCACTCTACCTGAACTTACTCGTTTAATGGTCAATGTCTTCGGTAAGTAATTTCCACATTTTTCTTCTACAAGCATCATTGTCATTATCCCAGTTATTAGTTGTGTTCTTAACCCCGCAGAGCACCTATTAAAATTACGCGAACTGTCTGTATTACGAAACAATTTGAGAGTGGATTAAATAATTTTTATTAAATTTTACATTGGAGAATTTTTTGAACAGTGTGAGGGGAAATTTGCCGTATAAATTTACCGCATCACTCATTACCAGTACTGATCATACTGAACGATCATAACCTAAAAGCAGAACATCTAATGTTTAGGTTAGAACAGGATATTATAAAATTATTATAATTAATTCCATTCATACAATAGACGAAGATGAAGATTTCTGTCTTCTGCGTTGTTGCGCTGTGTAGTCTGGTAGAAGTTTAACAACGTTTCAGAGGTCATACTGCCTCCGTCATCAGGGCGATTTGCCCTGATGATGATATAGTATAGAAGCATAAGTTTAATAGAGAATAATCTCGTGTTGAACAGTTTTAAGGATGTAAGAGATGGAAAACCTTTTTTCAATAATTTACTACATTCTGATTTCCAGACTATAATGGAGACCTTTCACCTTCAGTCGCCACCATACCTAAGGTGGTTTTCCAAATGCATCGGTGGTTTACCTCTTCAGCAAAGTTGGTTGAACAGATGATGGCGTTGCACAAAAGGGCTGGTGAAATTTCACCCTGTACAATTGAAGGATGTGCACACAGCCATGCCACAACGTCACCTGAAGTTTGCTTGCTTCTCCAGTACCAAACCAGAATCTGCCATGCCATCAGGTAATTTCTTTTGTATGTTCAGGGGGTGTTTCCCAGAGCCACTGCCCCAGGAAGCTGTGAGCATTTATTGTGGGGCGGGGACTAAGAGCCACATTAAATAGTTTAATAGTTGTTACAGGTTGTGGCCCTCAGAAATTGTTATTTGGGTACTTGTTGGTTATCAGGACACAAAACTTGTCATTTATTGGAATAAAATATAATAACTTTCAAGTATATGTCATTTATCCACACACATTAACCTAACCTAACCCAACCTAACCTAACCTAACCTAACATAAGTTAACCTAACCTAACCTAAGTGATGTGTCCCGATAACCCACAAGTACCGTTATTTGTACCCAGGAAGCCACAGACTAAACGTTTTGAAGCCACTGGTATATTGTACTAAAATATAAATTTGCCCTTTATTGTGAGTTAATAAGACAGAAATAAAGTCTAGCCTACAGAGGATGTGTGCTATAATTTAGATTTATGTACATGTACAGTACTGGAAAATCGTACTCTCCAAATGTATTCCTTTGCATTTTTGCATTCAAAATGTTGATGACGTTATTAAGGAGGGCCATAGGACCTACAGAAGAAATTTAGGTACTTGTGGGTTATAGGGACACATCGATTTAAAAATAGGTTAGGTTAGGTTAGTTGTCATTTATTGAAATAAAATATAATAACTTTCAAGTGTATGTCAATTATCCACACACATTAACCTAACCTAACCTAACCTAACCTAAGCTAACCTAACTTAAGCTAGCCTAACCTAAGCTAGCCTAGCCTATTTTTAAAGTGATATGTCCCGATAACCCACAAGTACCCATATTTCTGTGTTTAATATTCCAGGTACTGGATTCTTCAATTTCCAATGCACTTTGATATCGAGAATGGTCTAGCAGGGACGCTTGAGACGTTCCAGTCTCTCCTGACTCCTACATCAGCCGAGCTGGTCGACCTATCCCAGGTGCCGTCTTATGACTGGATGCGACACGCGTCTATCCGCAACAGCAGTCTCGCAGAGAAACAAGCATCACTCAATAAAGAACATTCTTGCAAAGTTTCTCTTGTTTTTAACCATCTGGAGCCAATGCAGTTAGCAGAACACATCACTTATTTGGAACACAAAGTCATTAGGAGGATAACTGTAAGTTTTTCTGGCAAAATGTTTCTTATATATTTTTATTTGTAGGGTTTGAGGTTTCGCCCAGAAGACAGACATCTTCATATTTTTATTTATTTGATTATATGTATATTCATGCATTTATTTTCGTTCTAATACAGGTTGTCAGTAATATAACTAATGTTTTCTATGTTTCAAGTCAAGAATCTTTGATGTTACAAAGCATGAAGGATGTTTAACAACATTTACTTGTATTAATTACTTTTTTATTGATGTCCTAAAATAATTAAGAAAAATATGCAAATCCTGTATTTCTCCATATAATAATCAGAGCTAATTAGATTCTAATGTATTAGTTTACAAAATCCATTCCGAGAGATTTCACTCGTCATAGGTGATACTTGTAACTCACATAAAAATTCAAAGATGTAAGCCATAATTTTACCAGTTATTTATGAACAAAAATTTAGTGTCATTCTGAGGGGAGAAAACAAATTGAAATTATATAATAATGAAGTGTTGAATACTGGTTTGTTCCAAAAAGAGATGGATTATGTGGGTAATGGGAAAGATCATACAGATTATTTTAAAATTTTATATGTAATTTTAGTTTTAATAAATTCCTGCTATGAATGTAGTCACTTCTCACTAGATACAGTACGAAATAAATTTTTACTCAGATTTAAGTATAGGTATTGTTTTAAAATGTGTGTCTCTCTCGTGTTAATGGCTAATATGTACTATTTTCCACAGTTCCACGATCTCAAGAAGTACGCAGATTCTGGCTCTCTGCGTGATACTCCGAAGCTCGAGAGATCTGTGATGATGTTCAATGGTCTGACTCAGTGGATCCAGTGTATGGTCCTGAGTCGCACCATGCCCCAGCAGCGAGCTGACGTCATAACCAAATTCATAGATGTTGCAGTGGTATGCGTGTATTAGTGAGATGAAATTCTTTCCCTGCCTTTAAAATGACATTATTCTGAGGATGAATGGGCTATATTTTGGTCTTAGTGCAGTGCAGCATTGTTTTTTTAACCCTACTGACATCTCTTTGACATTATTTGAACTATCAGAATTTGGAAGTTGAATTTTAGAGTTGTTGTATGTCAACTTGTAGTCTTCTTTGTCTGGATTTAATTTATACTGATTGATAATTAAATTTTTTGTGAAATACCCTTCTGGACAAGGTGAGATTTAATACATATTTTGAAGTCAAGTCAAATGTTGGACCCAAAGTAAAACACCATTTCAGGATTTAGTTTAAGATAATGGTAGATGAGATATTTAACCTCAAATATCCCATGCTTGTGTGTTTCATATTGTCAGTGGCTATGAGGGTTGGAGGTCGTTTGGCGAAGGTTACATGAAACATTTGTTAAATCATAGAAATTTATTTTTATCTTGCAAAGTATATGATTAAAGTGCATGGATTATTAAAATTATAATATTTATGTACAAAAACAGACAATATAATTTTTGTGTCGTGCAGTCAGTTCAACGAACACAAAAATCATCTACCGCACAGTAAACAGTGAGAAAATTGATACTGTGTTACAGCCTGAGTTACAATTTATATAAGGACGTATTTCTGTACCTGCGAGTGAGTAATACTGACATACATGAGACGAGATTTAATGCAGCTTATTTGTTCACAGAAACTCCTGGAGCTACAGAACTTCAACTCATTGATGGCAGTGGTAGGAAGTGTAAGTCATAGTGTTCTGGCTCGACTCTCCAAAACTATGGCTTGTCTCTCAGCTGAAAGCAAAAAGTTACTAACAGACCTCACTGAATTACTATCTTCAGGCAACAACTTCAGCAACTATCGGCGCAAACTTGCCAAGTGCAAAGGATTCAAGATTCCAATCCTGTAAGTGAAGTGTGTGATTTCTTTGGCCGTCCAGAAGATAATTTTATCTTTTATTTAGCCAAATTAAACATAACAACATTTACTGGTCCTCCTCCTCCTCATCTCGGCCAAGAAATGGTACTAACATCTTTTGGTCTGTAGTAGACCATAAAATGTAGTCATAAGTAACCACATTTTTTATTTTATTTTGTAGTGGTATTCACTTGAAGGACTTGATCTCCTTACATGTGGCCTTACCTGACACCATAGAAGGGGAAATGATCAATATCCGTAAAATGGCGCAGCTGTCTTTGATCTTTCAAGAACTGGAGGAACTGCAGAACTCTGTGACACCCATAAATGCCAACATGGATCTTGTCAACATGCTCAGGGTATAGCTATTTTTTTATTTACAGACTTTAAGTTAAATCGTCAACCGCAGTCGCTTTCAGGGACGTAACTCCCATCGGTGGCAACTGATTTGCTCTACGGTAATATTTTGTCCGTCACAGTCGCTTTCAGGGACGTAACTCCCATTGGTGGCAACCGATTTGCTCTACGGTAATATTTTGTCCATCTTGGTTTTACTTGTGTGATAAAATAATTTTTGCTGAGCACATAAATGTTACAAGAATTTAGCGACATAAAGAATTATTTTACCAGAAGTGGGAATTTCACTTGTATGCAGGTAAAATGGACACCTGATCGAACACAATTTTTAAATTTAATATTATATGCTTCATCCTTAAGTGACTTTTGGCAATACTGTAAGTGCATGTGAAGAGATACACATATTTTTCACTTATCCAGTTGTAAAGAAGTAGGAGTATAGAATATCAGATTATTAATTACAAATAAAACAGCATTATGATATTTGAGGTTATGTTAGTGATCAATGTTCCTGATATTTTGTGGAATTTTGCAAGGTATTACTCTTGATCAATATTATAGTTTTGAAAGTATTAGTATATTATGATTTTTTATTATTGCGGAGAAATTTGTGGACCGATTAGGACTGTATTTTCTTTTCAGTTATCACTTGATCTCTCCTATACTGATGATGAAATCTATGAATTGTCATTGGCTAGAGAGCCCCGAAACTCATCGTCTGTAAGTAGCAACATATTATGAAGTATGTGTGTTGAGAATATGCCAATTTTTGGATTTGTGTTGTGGATTTAATTAGTCTATCTGGCTAGTTTCAGTGTTGCGTTAAACTTCAGGATATTTGAATTTTAAAGTTAAAAAGTGTGTTCTGAAATATCTGGAATATTTGTTAGGTTAATTGTAATTAAAGTGTGTTGGAAAGAAACTTTTAAAGAATCATCATATATAAACATATGATTTGTTTTGGGTTCACAGTGATTGAAGAAAAATCCATTCCTTTAATATATATATATAATTCTGTTAAGCCTGACTGATGCTGTGGTGTACATTGGTAGATAATGTAAACAGATATTAGATTATTGAAACTGATCTGTTGAAATTTGATTGTCTTTTTTCCAGCCACAGGGCTCTCCAACACAATCTGTACTATTTGCCGAATGGGCGTCCAGTCCATGTCTGCCACCTGACCCACAGACAATAGAAAAGCATGTGAATGCAATGGTAGAGGCAGTGTTCAAGAATTATGACAGTGACAGAGATGGCTACATATCTCATGACGAATTTGAAGCTGTTGCAGGGAACTTTCCCTTCATAGCCTCATTCTGTGTCTTGGACGCAGATCAGTGAGTAATAATATTGCCGCTCATATATATTTTTACAATTTTTTGCTTTCTTCAGATGAGGACCTGTAAGCTTATATTGATGGACATCATGTAATTATGTGAGTTAAAACAAAATTTTTAGTTACATGTTATTTAAGAGTTAATATCAAACAGATCCATTACTCGATATATTCAGAATCTGAAAAAGTATTAAGTGTTCATGATAAATAAAAAAAGCATGTTGAGTCATATAAATTACTCTTGATCAATATTATAGTTTTGAAAGTATTAGTATATTATGATTTTTTATTATTGCGGAGAAATTTGTGGACCGATTAGGACTGTATTTTCTTTTCAGTTATCACTTGATCTCTCCTATACTGATGATGAAATCTATGAATTGTCATTGGCTAGAGAGCCCCGAAACTCATCGTCTGTAAGTAGCAACATATTATGAAGTATGTGTGTTGAGAATATGCCAATTTTTGGATTTGTGTTGTGGATTTAATTAGTCTATCTGGCTAGTTTCAGTGTTGCGTTAAACTTCAGGATATTTGAATTTTAAAGTTAAAAAGTGTGTTCTGAAATATCTGGAATATTTGTTAGGTTAATTGTAATTAAAGTGTGTTGGAAAGAAACTTTTAAAGAATCATCATATATAAACATATGATTTGTTTTGGGTTCACAGTGATTGAAGAAAAATCCATTCCTTTAATTTCGCTTTTGAATTCACGGTAATAAAATTCTAAGAGAAAAAAATAATTGACTAGAATTTAATGAGCTGAATCAGTTATTTACATGTTAATCAAGAAAGAAGTGCAATAATACAGGAATTCTTGCAGATGTCAAAAGATTGGGTTTTGAAAAAAAATGTGCTAAAATTACTTGCACATGTAGAATCAGCAAAATACAAAGGGGAAAAAAAAAATATATATATATAATTCTGTTAAGTCTGACTGATGCTGTGGTGTACATTGGTAGATAATGTAAACAGATATTAGATTATTGAAACTGATCTGTTGAAATTTGATTGTCTTTTTTCCAGCCACAGGGCTCTCCAACACAATCTGTACTATTTGCCGAATGGGCGTCCAGTCCATGTCTGCCACCTGACCCACAGACAATAGAAAAGCATGTGAATGCAATGGTAGAGGCAGTGTTCAAGAATTATGACAGTGACAGAGATGGCTACATATCTCATGACGAATTTGAAGCTGTTGCAGGGAACTTTCCCTTCATAGCCTCATTCTGTGTCTTGGACGCAGATCAGTGAGTAATAATATTGCCGCTCATATATATTTTTACAATTTTTTGCTTTCTTCAGATGAGGACCTGTAAGCTTATATTGATGGACATCATGTAATTATGTGAGTTAAAACAAAATTTTTAGTTACATGTTATTTAAGAGTTAATATCAAACAGATCCATTACTCGATATATTCAGAATCTGAAAAAGTATTAAGTGTTCATGATAAATAAAAAAAGCATGTTGAGTCATATAAAAATTGGGTACTTGTGGGTTATTGGGGCACATCGCTTTAAAAATAGGTTAGGTTAGGTTAGGTTAGGTTGTCATTTATTGAAATAAAATATAATAACTTTCCAGTATATGTCATTTATTCACACACATTAACCTAACCTAACCTAACCTAACCTCTTTTTAAAGCGATGTGTCCCGATAACCCACAAGTACCAAAAATTGCACTAGTGCATGAATGTCAATAAGAAACAACCTTTAAAGATTTGAATCATAAAGTACTGTTCCAAATCAATCAATTTAATACACAATTTCTGCAATCATTAAATCAATTTTGTTTTGCGTACCATCTTACAATAAGCCTTAGGTCATAAATCAGAACTTGGCATTCAGTATCTGTGTGGGCTAAGTTGGTATTAGGCTAAACTGCTTAATCACATATTCTGTTTTTCAGTGATGGCATGATAAGTCAAGAAGAAATGAAAAAATATTTTATTCATGCCAATTGCCATGCACTAAAAAGTGGTTTCAAACACGAATTCCATGAGACTACTTACTTTAAGCCTACTTTCTGTGCACATTGTGCTGGTCTGGTAAGTAGCAAAACTTTTACGGATAACCGTTTTAAGATACAAACATGACTGATCTCTTTGCTATAACACTGCATTATTTCTTATTTAGTTATGGGGACTCATCAGACAAGGGTACAAGTGTCGAGACTGCGGCATCAATGCTCACAAACATTGCAAGGATTTGGTGGTGATGGAATGTCGAATAAGGATTAACCCTTCTTCAGGTAGGCAGAAACATCTGTGTTTTTGTCAGTTTCAGTTCGTAACTTCCACCTTGTTTGTTACTGCAAGAATATGCAGTTTTCTCATTTATCACACAATTGCCATGAATGTCAGCTGTCACTACAGAAAATATCTTTTTCGCTAAAACCAGAATTCTTAGAAATGCAGACCTGCTTTAGATTGTGAAGACAACAAGCTCCCCTGAAACATTGGTCGATATCTACCACTTTACATAGCGCTATGCCCCAGAAGAATGAGCCGGGATAGCTCAGTCAGTATAGTGACTAGCTACGGGCTGGACGACCGGGGTTCGATCCCCGACGGGGGCAGAGGATTTTTCCTCTAGCCTCTGCATCCAGACCGGCTCTGGGGCCCACCCAGCCTCCTCTACAATGGGTACCGGGGTCCTTTCCCGGGGGTAAAGCCGGCCGGGGCGTGATGCTGACCACTCACCCCCATCTAGTGCCGAGGTCAAGGAAGAGAGGAGCTATACCTCCTTTTTTGGACAGATCTTTGGTAACTTATATAATAAAACTGACACTTCAAAGATTTCATGTTCAATTTTTCAAGAACTGTGAACACATCCATGTATTTTAGTCGGTATCCTCTAAGCAGGACAAACATGTCTTTAAGAGCAGAGATGGCTCTCGAAATGTTGGCGGAAGAAATGGTTGATTCACCATTCAGCCACCTGAAGCGGCTTGTTGCCCGAGAGTCTTTCATCAATGTCTTTAAGCTTTGTGCAACCAGGCTATTCATTTAAATGTGTATTTAGGATTAAAATCCCACACTAGATTCTGCCATCATTGGGGCAAGTACTTTGTTTCTTGAGCATTCTAGCTAATAAATAACTTTATTTTATGCAGGGGAACCTAGTAGTCATGCGTTAACATCAAGACGGAAGTTTCGTCGCAAGAAGAAGTCAAGTGCTTCTGAATCAGAATCTTCTCCACCCAGTCCAAAATACTCAACTACCTCTTCTTCAACAGTTGGTGATTCAGAACCTTGTCAGCAGACAGCGTCTGGGGTTGAATATTCTGACAGTGGGGGAGGCTCTTTACCACCGAGTCCAAAGCCTACACTAATGTGGGCTGGGCCTAGAAGGAAGATAAGTGACTCCCTTTTGGTACCCTCACGTAGCCGACCAACATCTCGTCTCAGGACACAGCACAGTTGCCCAGAAAGTACATGTTCTCATAACTACAGAGTACAGGATGGACAGGCACATATACATCCTCCATTTTTACATTCCTCCACGGTATATTACCCACCGCTGGCCCACCAGTCATCAGTCACAGCTGCCCCAGCCATGACTGCACCAGCACCACCTCTAGCAAACCACCTGAGTTGTCACTGCCACAGTGAACAGTTGGAGCTGCTGAATCAGAAACTTTCAGCAGCAGAGGAGGTAAATATTGTGTAAATGTTGTAAACAATGTAAAAAAATGTGCATAAAAGTCTGGATGTAAAAATCATTAATTGTGACTCTATGCTAATGGTAAGAACATATAGTCATGTTTCAGCTTGTGCAATGTAGCAACTACTTCAATGCGTGCTATGGTTGTATCTAGAAGGGTTTCTACCATATCTTCTGTAAATGTAATCATCAGAAATTGTAAATATTTATCAGTTATATCACTGTATTTCTATTTATTCCTAAAATAGCAATTTACAGTTTTGAGCTGCAAGATGAGCATAACCTAAAAGATCCAATTAATAAACAAGACAGAACTTGCATATGAGTGGCAGTGAAGTGAAAAATGTGATTTCATGTTTATATTATACAGGATTATACAATCTATGAAATAAAATCTTAAAGCTTAAATTAGGTTATGTTCTGAAAATAATTGGAAATGAAGATTGCTACTAATTTCATTATTATTCTCATACATATAAAATAGGATTAATTTTTATTTTTGGAACTTATGGTATTTCAGTCCATCTGAATGAGATTCACATTCACTTATCTGTATGTGATTGGCTGACTTTGACTTGTACAGTGTTGCTTCCGTTGCTGGTCACAGCATGACTTGTGTGATTTTTCACTAATTAAATCTCAGCTTGAACATTGTGTGTCATGATTTTGCTGTTCTCTAGTTTTACTTGCCCTTGAAGAGAGTTAAACTTTACTTTTAAACTTTCTGCCCTTAGGCAAAGCAGCGTCTCCTGAAAGAAAACGAGTTCCTGTTACGGCAGTTGGAGGATGCTTACAGAGAACTCCACTCATTGAGAGACCATGTGGGAGAAGTGCGTCAACAGACAGTGGCATTTATTCTTCGGCAGATGGAGACACTACACATCCAGAAGGATACTCATGTCTGACACGTGAGCAAATTACTTTTATCACCTTGGAGACGTAAGTGTGAAAAGTTCAGTGGTGTTGTATTCATACTCATACAACCTTAATGGTCACATCTGGTATATATATAATCACACAGTGTATATGCCTGGGACAGATGCTTCTTAAAATTTATTCCAAATGTAGCTTCAATAGATGTTTTACAATTGGTCACTAAGTTAGCTAAAGCTATAATTGGGTAATGTTACATCTACTGAAGAAATTCATTTGAAAATCCTGTTGTAACTACCAGAGAAAGATAATTATTGAATATGGTATCAGGATGTCTCTTACTGTTGTAGTTTTTATCCTGAAGTTGTTCAGTGGGGGCAGACAGGTGTGACCGTCTCACATTTATAAACCAGAAGAAGCTGTGTATTTTAGTTGAACTGATTCAGATGTTGGTCATTGCCATGCTTTGAAAAAAATTGCCTTCTAATAATATTGTTAACTGAAATAAACATTGCACATTACATGGTGGTAGAACCGGTATCTTTATTTCCATTTCATTGAGATGCAAATGTATTATGAAGTGTAATGGTTGTTTATGTTCTGTGTTATGAATATTTATATAGTTCAGTAATATCAATGCCAGTAATAATGGTATAATTTATATTTGTCAGGATGGTACTGGGGCCTACTACTTATATGAATGTAACAAATGAGAACTTTGTATTCAAGACACAGATATATATTATTAAGAAAATTAAATGCAGTGTGAGTATAGTGTAACTCCATAATTTTCAATCCATTTTCAATTATAGTTTGAGATACTGGTGTTCAGAACGTTGTAAGAATTTGCAAGTTTTGTTAATTTTGTCTGATATACTGTGTGTACATTTAACATGTTTTCTATGCTGACAACAAAATTATTTATGAATGTAGTGTTATAATTTATACCCCTCCCTCTCCTGTCTAGTCATATGAGGAAGATGCAAGGATAATGATAATGTGTTTGTGTATTCATGTTCAAATAACTGTGAATATAAGATACAGATATAAAGAAAGAGTAGGTTATTTTTAATGTAAGGAAAGGAAAAGAAATTACAAGATGTGTTGCTGACTTTGGTTCCATTGCATTTGAATATCTTTTTTATTTGCCATTCCTTTTACAGCAATGAAGAGTATAGTTAGCTTTCACAGTTTTTATCTCAGTTACTTTTTATTTTTTCACAAATAATATTTTTATATACAAAAGTAATGTTCAAGATTAATTTTCGTGCTAATTCCTAAAACCATTTACAAAACATTCATTTCTTTCTTATAGCATCACATTCCTGTTATTCTTTGAAATACAGAGATACATTCTTTCCAAAATCAGGATTTATAAATATGTAAAGAAACTACATATAATCCTGGTTGCTCACTAAAATATAATGCATTCCATGTTACCAAACTATAAAGTAAAAAATATTTATGTTATTGATGTCTTTTAATTTTATAATTCTGTTATTTTAGGTGATTAGCAATTGTCTGTGAATCACGGATCCATGTACAGCAGATGGTTACCGTGTTAAGTTTCATTTGAACTTTGGAAAGAATGCTTCAGTTGCTGGTGATGACAAATGTTTGGAGTCTAGTGTTGTTTTAATATGCTGAACTATACCACAAATCCTGCTTTTCCAAACATCACAGCCAAGTGGTTAGCCTTCCTCCTTCATTTGAGAGGTCCTTAGTTCAAATATCGACCATAAGATTGACTGTGCTGACTGAAGTTATTTTTATGGTTTCATTCATACTAGAATAGTATCTAAAATCAGATCATGACCATTTTCTTCCATATCCTTTTAAATTCATTATCATTAATCATCCTAGCATTAAGCAGTTTATAATCAAACCTGTTGACATTATTGTTAAATAAACCACAAATAAATAAATCATATACTATGTAAGAGTTAACTTTTCATATATGAATGTGTGTATTTGTATACATATGAAATGTACATTATATGATATAATACACAAATTTCACTATAATTACGTAGTCTATGTGGAAAATAGAAACTACATTTGTAATTTCTCTTTCATTATTAATTAATAATTTGACATTACATAGCCCCAGTGATCTATTTATATACTACATTTTATACAAAGGATTGTGTGTGTGATAAATATATACAACCACTGTAATGATAAGGGAGTACTTGTCACAACAGTGTTATAAAATATTTTAATGTTTGGAAATAAATATGTTTGCATTAACAGGTTAAGTACTGTGGCATTTAGGCATTGTTTCTAACAAGTTGCTGTGGTAAGTCATGGGCAGTATTGCCAAAATTATATGAAATTATATTATATTGCCAATACTGCAAAACTGTTTACAGTAATCCTGTGTGTGTAGGCATGCTTTGAGGGGGGGGGGGGAGAAAGGGTCCTAGAGGGTTCCAATAAACACAGCAGCTTTGAAGACTCAGATTGTTTTTGCTGATGTAGGGACTGAATGTTTAACTGAGCAAGGGATGGCATCTTGGTCTGTTCCTGTGGCTTATTAATTGATTTTGGTTTCAAGGGTTTAAGAAGGTGTTGTGACTTATATTTTTGGCCTGGTTGACTATCAGTCCATAGCTTCTTATAAGATGTTAGCCAGAATTACAGGTGGAGCAAGAATAAAATAGTTCTGTCAGCTAGTTAAACAAAGTTTAAGGTGTTTATTTTTATATTACTGCTACCAATTATAATTTCCTATGGTTTGCCAATTCTCAGACCAAATGTGTATGCTACAGTAGTTTTATCATTGGTGGAGCATGATTGAATGTATTTACTGAAAAATTGAAATACAGTACATGTGATAGGTGACGATTCAGTATCTTACGTAGCGATTCGCATTTGTATTAATTGTGCTACCATCTTTCCTTTGGAGATTATCTCACACACAGGCGGCGGCTATGATGGTAACTGTGGATCGGCCGATAATAACGTGAACTACTAGCAATGTATTTTTGCTGGACGTCCAGACTTTGACGCAAAGAATACTTTTGAAACCTCTATATTGTAGAACACTGAGGGACTTACTTTGTAGGATAAAAGTGAGTGTGTGTATTTCAACCCATCGTGATAGTTAATTGGTGGCGATAAGGTATTTTGTGCTTTTGCATGGAAGTAAAAAAATAAGTGGCAGGAGCAGTTATTACATTAATCACGGAATTGTTTTTTTGAATTGTATAATCCGAGCGAAGGAAAAACAACAATCTTGGTAAGTATAAGGTGAGGAATCCATCTGGTTGTTGCAGTGTACCATATCATTCGCAATACGTAATAGACTTGTAACCTAACCTATATTTCAAGTACCGTATATCATTATGGCGTGGTACCTAATTAAGAACAAGGACATATTAGTTTTGTGTTAACTAATTGACAGTTAATATATGCCACCTAGTGTTGCCACCTCACCATGACAACTTTAAAGAAATCTAAGCTGCTGTATGTATATCACCTCCCTCATGTAGCTTGCAGTGATTACAGCCTCTGGCAGTTTAGTGGGTGTTTTCATCCATTCATTGTAGATTTTTATAACTTTTCTTGATATTAATGACACTGTTTGAGATCAGACCCACATATTTTGAATACTAGGCTAGTATGCTAACCGCTGGTGTGGCCCAGAAGTGGTTGTTATGACTTTTTTGTTGCACATTCGATTACTTTCTATCCCATAGTAGAGGGAGCCATATGGAGCTCACATGAAGGCTTCATTCCAGAAGTATTCTGCTATCATTGTTTGTATTATACAATCATATATATCCTTTGATATGTATTAAAAATGGAATTTTAGCAGACTGCATATCTTGTTCTTAAAACCCAAGTTTCCATAATCCTGTCAGTATTTTGACATCATTTTTGTGTTTTCTTTCTTGTTTTAAACTTTAACATTTTTTGTAACAGTTGATTTTATTATTAATGCCTTCATTGTATTCAAAAGATATATCATGCTCCACATAACAAAAATATCGGACAGATCTTTGGTAACTTATATAATAAAACTGACACTTCAAAGATTTCATGTTCAATTTTTCAAGAACTGTGAACACATCCATGTATTTTAGTCGGTATCCTCTAAGCAGGACAAACATGTCTTTAAGAGCAGAGATGGCTCTCGAAATGTTGGCGGAAGAAATGGTTGATTCACCATTCAGCCACCTGAAGCGGCTTGTTGCCCGAGAGTCTTTCATCAATGTCTTTAAGCTTTGTGCAACCAGGCTATTCATTTAAATGTGTATTTAGGATTAAAATCCCACACTAGATTCTGCCATCATTGGGGCAAGTACTTTGTTTCTTGAGCATTCTAGCTAATAAATAACTTTATTTTATGCAGGGGAACCTAGTAGTCATGCGTTAACATCAAGACGGAAGTTTCGTCGCAAGAAGAAGTCAAGTGCTTCTGAATCAGAATCTTCTCCACCCAGTCCAAAATACTCAACTACCTCTTCTTCAACAGTTGGTGATTCAGAACCTTGTCAGCAGACAGCGTCTGGGGTTGAATATTCTGACAGTGGGGGAGGCTCTTTACCACCGAGTCCAAAGCCTACACTAATGTGGGCTGGGCCTAGAAGGAAGATAAGTGACTCCCTTTTGGTACCCTCACGTAGCCGACCAACATCTCGTCTCAGGACACAGCACAGTTGCCCAGAAAGTACATGTTCTCATAACTACAGAGTACAGGATGGACAGGCACATATACATCCTCCATTTTTACATTCCTCCACGGTATATTACCCACCGCTGGCCCACCAGTCATCAGTCACAGCTGCCCCAGCCATGACTGCACCAGCACCACCTCTAGCAAACCACCTGAGTTGTCACTGCCACAGTGAACAGTTGGAGCTGCTGAATCAGAAACTTTCAGCAGCAGAGGAGGTAAATATTGTGTAAATGTTGTAAACAATGTAAAAAAATGTGCATAAAAGTCTGGATGTAAAAATCATTAATTGTGACTCTATGCTAATGGTAAGAACATATAGTCATGTTTCAGCTTGTGCAATGTAGCAACTACTTCAATGCGTGCTATGGTTGTATCTAGAAGGGTTTCTACCATATCTTCTGTAAATGTAATCATCAGAAATTGTAAATATTTATCAGTTATATCACTGTATTTCTATTTATTCCTAAAATAGCAATTTACAGTTTTGAGCTGCAAGATGAGCATAACCTAAAAGATCCAATTAATAAACAAGACAGAACTTGCATATGAGTGGCAGTGAAGTGAAAAATGTGATTTCATGTTTATATTATACAGGATTATACAATCTATGAAATAAAATCTTAAAGCTTAAATTAGGTTATGTTCTGAAAATAATTGGAAATGAAGATTGCTACTAATTTCATTATTATTCTCATACATATAAAATAGGATTAATTTTTATTTTTGGAACTTATGGTATTTCAGTCCATCTGAATGAGATTCACATTCACTTATCTGTATGTGATTGGCTGACTTTGACTTGTACAGTGTTGCTTCCGTTGCTGGTCACAGCATGACTTGTGTGATTTTTCACTAATTAAATCTCAGCTTGAACATTGTGTGTCATGATTTTGCTGTTCTCTAGTTTTACTTGCCCTTGAAGAGAGTTAAACTTTACTTTTAAACTTTCTGCCCTTAGGCAAAGCAGCGTCTCCTGAAAGAAAACGAGTTCCTGTTACGGCAGTTGGAGGATGCTTACAGAGAACTCCACTCATTGAGAGACCATGTGGGAGAAGTGCGTCAACAGACAGTGGCATTTATTCTTCGGCAGATGGAGACACTACACATCCAGAAGGATACTCATGTCTGACACGTGAGCAAATTACTTTTATCACCTTGGAGACGTAAGTGTGAAAAGTTCAGTGGTGTTGTATTCATACTCATACAACCTTAATGGTCACATCTGGTATATATATAATCACACAGTGTATATGCCTGGGACAGATGCTTCTTAAAATTTATTCCAAATGTAGCTTCAATAGATGTTTTACAATTGGTCACTAAGTTAGCTAAAGCTATAATTGGGTAATGTTACATCTACTGAAGAAATTCATTTGAAAATCCTGTTGTAACTACCAGAGAAAGATAATTATTGAATATGGTATCAGGATGTCTCTTACTGTTGTAGTTTTTATCCTGAAGTTGTTCAGTGGGGGCAGACAGGTGTGACCGTCTCACATTTATAAACCAGAAGAAGCTGTGTATTTTAGTTGAACTGATTCAGATGTTGGTCATTGCCATGCTTTGAAAAAAATTGCCTTCTAATAATATTGTTAACTGAAATAAACATTGCACATTACATGGTGGTAGAACCGGTATCTTTATTTCCATTTCATTGAGATGCAAATGTATTATGAAGTGTAATGGTTGTTTATGTTCTGTGTTATGAATATTTATATAGTTCAGTAATATCAATGCCAGTAATAATGGTATAATTTATATTTGTCAGGATGGTACTGGGGCCTACTACTTATATGAATGTAACAAATGAGAACTTTGTATTCAAGACACAGATATATATTATTAAGAAAATTAAATGCAGTGTGAGTATAGTGTAACTCCATAATTTTCAATCCATTTTCAATTATAGTTTGAGATACTGGTGTTCAGAACGTTGTAAGAATTTGCAAGTTTTGTTAATTTTGTCTGATATACTGTGTGTACATTTAACATGTTTTCTATGCTGACAACAAAATTATTTATGAATGTAGTGTTATAATTTATACCCCTCCCTCTCCTGTCTAGTCATATGAGGAAGATGCAAGGATAATGATAATGTGTTTGTGTATTCATGTTCAAATAACTGTGAATATAAGATACAGATATAAAGAAAGAGTAGGTTATTTTTAATGTAAGGAAAGGAAAAGAAATTACAAGATGTGTTGCTGACTTTGGTTCCATTGCATTTGAATATCTTTTTTATTTGCCATTCCTTTTACAGCAATGAAGAGTATAGTTAGCTTTCACAGTTTTTATCTCAGTTACTTTTTATTTTTTCACAAATAATATTTTTATATACAAAAGTAATGTTCAAGATTAATTTTCGTGCTAATTCCTAAAACCATTTACAAAACATTCATTTCTTTCTTATAGCATCACATTCCTGTTATTCTTTGAAATACAGAGATACATTCTTTCCAAAATCAGGATTTATAAATATGTAAAGAAACTACATATAATCCTGGTTGCTCACTAAAATATAATGCATTCCATGTTACCAAACTATAAAGTAAAAAATATTTATGTTATTGATGTCTTTTAATTTTATAATTCTGTTATTTTAGGTGATTAGCAATTGTCTGTGAATCACGGATCCATGTACAGCAGATGGTTACCGTGTTAAGTTTCATTTGAACTTTGGAAAGAATGCTTCAGTTGCTGGTGATGACAAATGTTTGGAGTCTAGTGTTGTTTTAATATGCTGAACTATACCACAAATCCTGCTTTTCCAAACATCACAGCCAAGTGGTTAGCCTTCCTCCTTCATTTGAGAGGTCCTTAGTTCAAATATCGACCATAAGATTGACTGTGCTGACTGAAGTTATTTTTATGGTTTCATTCATACTAGAATAGTATCTAAAATCAGATCATGACCATTTTCTTCCATATCCTTTTAAATTCATTATCATTAATCATCCTAGCATTAAGCAGTTTATAATCAAACCTGTTGACATTATTGTTAAATAAACCACAAATAAATAAATCATATACTATGTAAGAGTTAACTTTTCATATATGAATGTGTGTATTTGTATACATATGAAATGTACATTATATGATATAATACACAAATTTCACTATAATTACGTAGTCTATGTGGAAAATAGAAACTACATTTGTAATTTCTCTTTCATTATTAATTAATAATTTGACATTACATAGCCCCAGTGATCTATTTATATACTACATTTTATACAAAGGATTGTGTGTGTGATAAATATATACAACCACTGTAATGATAAGGGAGTACTTGTCACAACAGTGTTATAAAATATTTTAATGTTTGGAAATAAATATGTTTGCATTAACAGGTTAAGTACTGTGGCATTTAGGCATTGTTTCTAACAAGTTGCTGTGGTAAGTCATGGGCAGTATTGCCAAAATTATATGAAATTATATTATATTGCCAATACTGCAAAACTGTTTACAGTAATCCTGTGTGTGTAGGCATGCTTTGAGGGGGGGGGGGTAGAAAGGGTCCTAGAGGGTTCCAATAAACACAGCAGCTTTGAAGACTCAGATTGTTTTTGCTGATGTAGGGACTGAATGTTTAACTGAGCAAGGGATGGCATCTTGGTCTGTTCCTGTGGCTTATTAATTGATTTTGGTTTCAAGGGTTTAAGAAGGTGTTGTGACTTATATTTTTGGCCTGGTTGACTATCAGTCCATAGCTTCTTATAAGATGTTAGCCAGAATTACAGGTGGAGCAAGAATAAAATAGTTCTGTCAGCTAGTTAAAGTTTAAGGTATTTATTTTTATATTACTGCTAGAATAAAATAGTTCTGTCAGCTAGTTAAACAAAGTTTAAGGTGTTTATTTTTATATTACTGCTACCAATTATAATTTCCTATGGTTTGCCAATTCTCAGACCAAATGTGTATGCTACAGTAGTTTTATCATTGGTGCAGCATGATTGAATGTATTTACTGAAAAATTGAAATACAGTACATGTGATAGGTGACGATTCAGTATCTTACGTAGCGATTCGCATTTGTATTAATTGTGCTACCATCTTTCCTTTGGAGATTATCTCACACACAGGCGGCGGCTATGATGGTAACTGTGGATCGGCCGATAATAACGTGAACTACTAGCAATGTATTTTTGCTGGACGTCCAGACTTTGACGCAAAGAATACTTTTGAAACCTCTATATTGTAGAACACTGAGGGACTTACTTTGTAGGATAAAAGTGAGTGTGTGTATTTCAACCCATCGTGATAGTTAATTGGTGGCGATAAGGTATTTTGTGCTTTTGCATGGAAGTAAAAAAATAAGTGGCAGGAGCAGTTATTACATTAATCACGGAATTGTTTTTTTGAATTGTATAATCCGAGCGAAGGAAAAACAACAATCTTGGTAAGTATAAGGTGAGGAATCCATCTGGTTGTTGCAGTGTACCATATCATTCGCAATACGTAATAGACTTGTAACCTAACCTATATTTCAAGTACCGTATATCATTATGGCGTGGTACCTAATTAAGAACAAGGACATATTAGTTTTGTGTTAACTAATTGACAGTTAATATATGCCACCTAGTGTTGCCACCTCACCATGACAACTTTAAAGAAATCTAAGCTGCTGTATGTATATCACCTCCCTCATGTAGCTTGCAGTGATTACAGCCTCTGGCAGTTTAGTGGGTGTTTTCATCCATTCATTGTAGATTTTTATAACTTTTCTTGATATTAATGACACTGTTTGAGATCAGACCCACATATTTTGAATACTAGGCTAGTATGCTAACCGCTGGTGTGGCCCAGAAGTGGTTGTTATGACTTTTTTGTTGCACATTCGATTACTTTCTATCCCATAGTAGAGGGAGCCATATGGAGCTCACATGAAGGCTTCATTCCAGAAGTATTCTGCTATCATTGTTTGTATTATACAATCATATATATCCTTTGATATGTATTAAAAATGGAATTTTAGCAGACTGCATATCTTGTTCTTAAAACCCAAGTTTCCATAATCCTGTCAGTATTTTGACATTATTTTTGTGTTTTCTTTCTTGTTTTAAACTTTAACATTTTTTGTAACAGTTTCTTTCTTGTTTTAAACTTTAACATTCTTTGTAACAGTTACAGGTATATATTGATTTTATTATTAATGCCTTCATTGTATTCAAAAGATATATCATGCTCCACATAACAAAAATCTTGTCTTCAAGGACAGACTTTGTTCAGAAAGGAGAATTTCCTTGGAATGCCATGATCCTAGTTTTCATATGCATATGAAATAGTAGGTTAAATACATAAGTCAGCTACTGTATGAAATTTGTGTGCTTTAAATACTGTATGTTTGTACTGAGTAACCCTATTTTAATAACAGTTCTGTTGCATTGCTTTATTCAAAGACAACTTTAAAATGGCTCACTACAAGGGAGCTGCCAGTGAGGCTGGGCGAGCCATGCATCTGATGAAGAAGAGGGAGAAAGCTCAACAGGAGATAGAATTCCGCAAAAAGAAGATTGAAGAAGATTTGAAAATATCAAATATTGAAAACAAATTTGCAGCTCATTATGATGCAGTGGAACAACAGCTTAAGGTAATCATAATTTGTAATAATTTCAGAGATAAAATTGTATAACGGGCTGTTGGCTTCACTTTCATCTGCTAGTGGATTTCTTTTTAATTTCTACTTTTTACTGACTTTGGTGACGTCACACTGCCAGTGCATCATTCATATGTAAATATTGCTAGCTAATCTGTAGACATCTAAATAAAATGGACCTACTGTAGCTTTGGTACCTTCCATTGTATTTATTTCACCTGTCGTGTCATTCAGCATGTTTTGTAATATGTTTTGTCTTTGGTGTGAGTAATCAAAATGGTTTAACCTATAGTCCAAGAAGAAAGTTGGAATGAATTTGATGTGTAGTGTAATCTTCTCTGTTGAGAACTGTTAATACACTTGTGACTGTTGTGAAACATCACAGAATGTGTAAAATAGTAACTTATTCAGTAATTTGCCCAAAGTCTGTGAGCTTGAAGGATGTCACATTGAACATGTTTTGTAAACCAAAACCATTTTCTTCAAGTATACACAAAGGTCTGTGAAAGATTCATCAACTGATGGAAAAGTTACAGCACTTTTGAAGTTTTACATGATAAAACACATTGCATATCCCTTTTTCTGGAGTAAAATAGGCTACAGAAAATTATTTTTGATCTTTTTCATCTATCTCTGGCTTATTCAGGTTTTGAGATTTGGTTCCATAACTTTTTTGGTTCTTTCAAATTTTCTGAACTTATTTCCTGGTCTTATTCTCTGTATGGAAGAGCCTTTGAAAGTATAATGATAAGACAGGTATTCTTATTCTCTGTATGGAAGAGCCTTTGATTAGACAGGTATATAGTTATAAATTATTCTAAGGTTAATATCATTTCTAGATATCTTTTGTATGCGAACTGTGATGTAAAGAATGCACATTCTAGTCAGTCGGTTGCATGTTCCAACTTCCAGCCTTTTGACAGAATTTGGGACAGTTTGATGTGGAATATGTGTATTAAAATGTAATAAGTGACTTTTGTTTTAATTCCCTCGTTATAGAGCTCCACTATCGGCTTGGTGACGCTCGATGAAATGAAAGCCAAGCAAGAAAACATTGTAAAGGAAAGAGAAAGAAGACTTGCGCAAAAACAGCTGGAGAAAGAACAAGAAAAACAGAGGCAACTTGAAGCTAAACAAGCTGAAAAGGACAGACAGAAACAACAGGTAATGTTTGTTGCCAAACACCGAGACATTAGTCATTGATAAATTTACAGTAAGGGATTTAGCAGTGACACTGATAATGCTTTACAGATACAAGCTTTATCATTCACACTGGATGAAGAAGAAGTTGAAGATAAAACATACAACACCGATGATAGTGATGAAGAAAAGTTTGAACCACCTGTTAAAAAGAAGATACGAAAAAATCCTGATGTTGATACAAGCTTCCTACCTGACCGAGAGAGAGAAGACGAGGAGAACAAACTTCGAGAGGAACTCAGACAAGTACGTGATCTGCGGTCAGATGTTTAGGCTGTCTCAGCTGGTGTATAGATTCCTTCGTTGTGTGGGTTATTGAAGTCCGTTGCATTTTGATTGTTCCTTGGAAGAAGTACAGTGTAACAACATTACTACTAAGGTACCGTACTCTTAATGTTGTTACTTTTAATTGCATTTTCCGTTCTGAGGCTAATATATTTTTGTTTACAGGAGTGGGCCGCTAAACAATCTACTTTAAAGGAAGAGGAAATTGATATCACATTCAGTTACTGGGATGGCTCAGGTCACAGACGGACTGTTAGAATGAAGAAAGGTAATTGGTGGTCTTTGTTTGATAGCACATGTAGTAATGTATGTTAATTGACAAATGACGCTCAGAGAGAGGACAGTACTCCAGACAATGAAATTAATATGAAATTAATCAGCAAAAGGACAAGCCTGCTCCAGCCAGCCAGGCATTGTGTATGTTGTTAAAATACATATTACATATTCTGCACTTGGTCACATCACTTCAGATTTTAAGTATCTTTAAAACATTTCTGATGGATAATACAAAGAGTGAAATATTTGGAAAAGTACAGTGCACTGATCTCGCTGGCAGGTACTGGTATACTGACTGTGAATAGTTGTGACTGTTAACAGGTAACTCCATGTACCAGTTTCTTCAGAGGTGCCTTGAATTGCTTCGCAAGGAGTTCAGTGAACTTAAGACAGTGACAGCTGATCAGTTGATGTATGTGAAGGAGGACCTCATTCTTCCGCACCACTATACATTTTATGACTTTATTGTGACAAAGGTAAATATAATCAAATCATACCATTTCAGGCAGACTTGATCGAATGGACACATGTGAATTCCTTTTTCCAATA